ATCACTTTCTCTTACACACTTTACATTCTTAAATTCAGTTTTGAGTTGAGAACTGAAAACTGAAACTGATTGAACCCCAATAGAAAAGAATTGACTGTAGTGCAATGCAGTTCAACGACCTAGCTTATTTAGTCATATTAATTGTGCACTCCTCACTTGTGATTGCTATTTTTGTTTACAGTACAAGATGTATGTCATTTGGAGGCTAGTTCCTGTACAATAGAGTGAACTGTGTAGATAATTTTGTTTTACAAAGCCAAAGTGATACTGCTTTATTTTTAAAAAATAGGGAAAAATTTTTGATGTGTAAATGTAAGGTTCAGTTGGCATTCTACTTCACAAGAAACATCTCAAATTTCAGAAAAGTTAAATATTGAGTTGATTGATTTACTCAAGGTTTAGGGAGATCCGTAAATTCTAGGAAATTTTGCTATATACAATCATTGTAAATTTGTAATGAAAGGATCATGTTTAATTTGTTTCAGTGGAATATGGAAGAAAAGAAGTGTGAAGAAGATGGCACACTGAATGAAGGCGGAGCTGAGATTTCTATTTCAGGTACAAACCAGCCAAGAGATTTGCTCAAAGTGGAGTCTAAGGTTCAGATATTGGAATTATGACCCCATATGCTGCACAGGTGCTAATGAGTGTACGATGCTGTTGTCAGTCGTATCATTACTTTAATCCTGTTGAAAAACTGGCCAACATAGATTGTTTGCCCTTATAAATTTCAACCATGTTTCAGGTTGACTTACAAAAGATGTTGAAAAGCAATGAGGATGTAAGCCAAAGCGTGTAGAAATATCAACTGTTGCTTCAGATGTTAGAAGCAATGAGGATAAAAACTGGGAAATTGATGTTTTGAGATCATGCTGCACCTACTCTCCTAGTGTTGGTGCCATGGCTTGTGATGGACTTTGGAAGGTGTCAGTACCTGGGTAGTCAAAACCTAATGACCAAGTGGAGGAAGGGAGAGTTGGCACCTAAGCAAAAATATTGGCACCTATTTCTCAAGGCTCAAGGATCAAGGATGTCTAGATCTCAGCTGAAGATGAGCATTTGTGGTTTGTGCATGGTGTCAACACTCAGGACCCAAGTGTTGAGACCTTTAGTTGCTGACAGCTTTTTATGTATGCTGTACTTGTACCCATACATTGTATGCTGATCATTTTTATAGGGGATGATTTTGATCTGGACTAGGTCCTGAGGTGTTTCCCCATTTAGGTTTTCCAGGTAAAAATTTTGGTGGTGATTCTCTTTACTTTTCAATTACTTTTAGTAGTTTGATTACTGGTAATTAGTAGCAATGTCTTACTCTGTCTCCATAATAAGTTTGCAGAAATGGATAAAAATGCCATATTCCAATGCAACCTGCACTACTGCCAAACATCAGCATACCTAACTTAACTGAAGATCAAGAGATCTATTTATTACTGATTTTAGAAGTTCCAAATGGATGTAGGCCAGGTTAGCTCCTCTTGAATATCATGAACATGGAAGATGGGACTGTCTCCTTGTTGATCTGCCCCAATTCCATTCAGCTCTATCACAGCATCCCAGTTGAAGCTCTTCTCTGAGAAGGCTGCAAGTTCTTTGAAATCTCTTATGTTAGAATCCGTCACTGACTCTGGTAAATTCTCTTTAGGAATTTCACCTATTCCTTCTGTTTGTGACTGCTTTTCCTCTCTCACTATTCAAAGCTGCTCAAGAAACTCATTTAGATCAATCTGTGTTTCCTCTGGCTGCGGCATATCCTCTGTCGACAAAATATCTACATCTTTCTCCTTGGTTGTCAGATTTTCAATCTGGCTCTGGCTCTTTTTGCTTATGATCTTAGTATCAGTTTCTGATTCACGTGAAGATGAATTAGAAGAAAAAGATTTGTTCAGAGCTCCATTATTCTTCTTGAGTTCTTCAAGCCTCTGATAGATAACATGAACACTAGGTTGGGCATTGATATTGAGCAGGCCACATGAAGGGAACATGGAGGTGAAATTCTTTGAAGGAATCCATTTCAATCTGTTTGGAGGATGAGAATTTGAGTTGGGTTGAAGGTGGGGCAGATTGAGGTAAGCATCAGGTCCATATAGTCTCCTTGCAGCCTCATCATAAGCCATGGCAGCTTCCTCTGCAGTAGCAAAAGAACGAAGCCAGAGTCTGGTTCTTTTCTTTGGCTCCCTGATTTCTGCCACCCATTTACCCCTAGTCCTCTGCCGGACTCCCCGGTACTGGCAGGAGGCATTCAGGGGACCGCCTTTACCTCTGGTTGGACCTTTCTTCCAGGGCTTTAGTGGAGATTTTCTGAGAGTTTCCATGGGAAAGTGAGTGTGAGAACTGAGGGGAGTGCAAGTGCAGTGCAAAGAGCAGCATGGCGCGGGATTATGTAGGAAGTGAGAGTGCAGAATTGGTTTAAATGCTTTCACGTTTCAGAAAAATTAAACTTTGAAGCCCCATGTGACCGTTAGCGAGTATTGTGCGGATGATTTCAAATCCATATATGTTTGAAACTTTTGCAAATTATGGGCATAAGGATGCACTAATGTCACGATCTTCCACATTTTGCTTCTCCCCTTGTAAACTCTACTATTGTCTTCTATCTGTAGATCTCTCAGTTTTTTTCTTAAAATGACTATCTAAATTAAAAGAAGGTTTACGTCTGAAGGACCAAACGATATTGTATGACTTTGGTCTTAACGTCTGCCCAATCACAAACAGATCATTTGTACTAGGACTGAAAATTTTGTCGAGAACCACCTCACGATCATAATCTCTCTTAAAAATCAAATGTTAATCAACAAGATGATAACAAACTCTGTTACTAACCAGGCAGCTCTATTTGGATTTGCTTGGGTAGTAATTGAACAAATAAAAGTGTTTGGATTATAAACAAGAAGTATTTGTGCTTAAATATTTATTATCAGCTATTTAAACAGTTAATCCTAAGAAAGCGTAAGAGGGATTCTATTGGGTACTTTCTAGTTACCCTCAAATATCATTCTATATTCCAAGTTCAGTTTCATGCCCTTTGGCTTGGTGCGGCAATCCTGTGAACAGTAAGAAAACTGGTAAAAGAAACCTCTGTTATTGATTTGGGCAAGAAGAAGAAGAAGAAACAAACAGAGTGTTGGGGTGCATTTAAAGGTGTTGTGGTGGTGACTATAATTTGTGGATATATGTGTTCTGAGTAGTGTCTTCCTCGGATTCCCATAGCAGGAGTGCTTCTGCAATTGATCTACAAAGAGTTAAATTTCACTTTCACGAGCCCTATTTCACAAGTTTTCCTGCCATCGATGACCTGATTCCCGGGACTCTCTTCACCTTTTTCCCGTGCCCATCTCTCTCTCTGTGTAAATTATAACATTTCTCAGAATGGGAGCTGCCCAAGATCTCAAAATCATATCACATGCTGAATTGAGAGTTCTCATGCTCATATATGTCATGATGATAATGCCATGTTATATGCATATCATAAATTTACCCGCTCTCCTGGTGATATTATTCGAGCACTTGTATAAATGAACATTTGATGTTTGTCAACTTAAAAAAGTAACAATAATGGCAACATCTGAGATCATAATCCCATTTTCTTGGCCCAGCCTTCGCATTTCTTTTCATTATGTTTGTAATATTTCATCAACTATCAAGTCAGCATATACACATGGAATATGATTCGATCGTATACAATGTTTTCTTACCAAGATATCTTATAATTTTAAGTGACAGTAATTTTTTTTATAAATTTTTAATATTTAAAAATTATATTAAATTTTAATTAATTTAAAATTAAACTACGTTTGAGTCTATATGACACAATGTTTTTTTATCATGACATCTTACAATCTTAAATGGTAATAACTTTATATTAATTTTTAGTATTTAAAAGTTATATTAAATTTTAAATAATTTAAAATTAAACTACGTTCAAACCTATAGTGAAAAAATCCTTATAACACTTGTTTTTTTATATATAAAACTCAAACTCAATAAAAGAAATCAAATTATTTGTACTTGTATCAACAATCCGTTAGTTATGTTGCAGTAATTAAAATTGGCTCTCTTTTTACTCAATGAAAAGAAACGTGCGTGAATGCAAGATGTCATGTGATGTGTCTATTATTGTAAGAAAACATTGGGTGCCGATTACTCTAAAATCCGTACACACGAGAAACCAGTGACCAAAACCTAAAAGCATTACCGGAAATGAGTACTTTGATGAACAAAGAAAGCTCACTGCTGATTATATATTTTTTGACTGAAGATTGCTGATTATATTTACAATTTTTTTTTTGTTATATCAAAAACGTTGGCTTTCACCTGTGTTACCAAAAAAAAAAAAAA